CAACATTTGGCAATAACCGGCAACAATTACAGTGCAGCTTGGGAAATATTAACCCAAAGGTACCGTAATAGAAGAATTTTGTTCACAGAATTAGTGGACAAAATATTAGATTAACCGAACATTAGCAGTGCTTCAGCGTCCAGCTTGAAAGGCCTATTAGATACAACAATAGAGTGCATACATGCGTTGAAAGCCATGAACTTCAATATTGGAGACTAATAAAAACTAATATAAAACTAATTTCCAGGAATATACACCTTTGTATGGGGGCTATGGGAAATATTAGATCAATTATTATGAATTTGAACATACTTGATCCCTGGTACAAAAAAATAATATGTGACAACATTCATCGAAATATCTTTGGTAGTTTCTGAGATAACTACTTAAGAATTGGGAGAAAACGTTATTTTTTTCGAGGTAGTCTGAAATTTTTACTTTGAACTTTTTACGTCGTGAACCGATTTTACTGATTTTCAATACCAAACTTTAGCGGATAATAAAGAATGTTTTGGGTGAATTTCGTGAATTTCTATTGCTTGGTTTCAACGTGAGCGTGTTTTACACAGACAGACGGACGGACATAGCTAAATCGACTCAGAATTTCATAAGGTTCCAGAATATATATACTTTGTTGGGTGTCAGATGAATATATCTTGGTGTTATACACGGAATGACAAAGTTATATTTACCTTCTATCACCACTGATGGTGGTGGAGGGTATAACAAGATTAAAGATATTTGGTATCATGATATAATGGTTGAAAATCATAAAATTAAATTTAAATTAGACACAGGTTCTGATGCAAATATAATTCCAATATCCACTTTAAAAGCAGTATATAAGAATCCAAATTTAAAATCTACAAATATATCTTTACAAGCAGATAGTGGACATAAGATACGTCCTTTGGGTGAAATAAGGCTTGATTGTGTTTCGAAAGGTATTACTTCTAACGAATTATTTTTATTGACTGTTACAAGCCAATTTTAAATAGGGATGCATGTGTAAAATTGGAATTAATTAAGAGAATATATAATTTGGAAAAATCTACTGATTGACTAGAAATGTTAAAGAATAAATATAAGGAAATCTTTGAGGGTGTTGGAAGATTTGAAAAAGAATATGATATAAAAATTAATCTAAATGCAACTCCTGTAGCACATCCACCTAGAAGGGTTCCAATGAAAATAAGAAATAAATTGAAAAATAAATTAAATGAAATGGCTGAGATGAATATAATAGAAACAAGTAGGAGTGCTATATTCGGCTATGCCGAATCTTAAATACCCTCCCATTAAAACCCATTTAGCTATCTAATTTTTACATAACTTGGCAAAATTTTTGTTTCCGTATTGAGAGTACTAACATTTATGCATATGTCGAACTAATTTTTATAAGGCCAGAAAAATTTATATTAATAGGCCAGTTCGAAAACATGTTAATAGAATGATTTATCTATACACAGAACATACTCATGTCGAATCTTATCCATATTTAATCATTTAACAACGAATAAGGTGGTAATAATTGCTTTACTGGGAGCCAATACAACTTATGGGCCGATCCGGAAAAAAATTCCGTAGAATGATTTACAGTTGCGTTCAAAATAATAGGAGTGAAAATTTCAAAAATTTTATATATACATTTTTTAGTGAAAGATTTAGATTTTTAATTAAATATTTTTATAATTTATTTATTTAACTTGTTCTCTAATTTTTATAATCGTTATTTTAAATATTTAAGAAATTTATTAAAAAAAATATATACATATTTTTTAAATTTATATACAAAATCTGTTGTTCAAAATAATAGGTGTTAGGTCACCGTATAATAATTACTAACATTATTATTTTGTTTTGTTTAAATTTTCCATTTTTTATTGTATTTAAATTTATTCATATTTTTGGCTCACTGTTGCCACTGTAATTTGTCATTATTTTTTGTTCATACTAACCACTGTACATATTTTTGGTAATGACCCGTTAGTTTTTATTATTTGTTTCTCACTCCAATTCTTATTATAAGCATATTGTTGTTGCTCTTAAAAATGCAATTTCTTATTTTGGAGACTTATTGCATGTATTTTGTTTTTGCATATTTTGAATATAAATAAACAAGTTGAGTTGGTACATTGGAAGTGAGAAACAAATAATATTACAATAACAACAGTGTAGCCCTTATTTACATGATCAATTGTTAGGCTTAAGAAAAGAATTTTTAAATAAATAAATCATTGTCATAGTTGAATTCAATCGAACAACATCATCTTTTATTCTTGTCTCGGTACCACGGTAGTTCTTTTGTGTTTGTTAATTAATCACTGCCCATCGAACATTTCAGCAACCTATAGACAACAATTCAAAGTAGACCGAATTGCTCTATATCGTTGCCGGTGAAGAAAAAGCTCTTCATCGTACATTTTTGGCGCCCAACGTGGGGCAAGTGATTAATCTAAATCTTCCTAAATTTGTCGTTCTCGGTCCGTGGTATATTCTAAAAACTTTTCGTTGTAGTACAACTTAAAGAAAAAGTGTACGGTCATATTGTGAAGTGGAAACAGTGGTTCTATTACAAGGGCAATATCTAGTGCTACAAAAAGAAAAATAAAAAACTTTGTGGTTCAATAAAAAAAAAACCTGTGCAACAAAAAAAAATTTATAAATCATTTAAAAAAAACTAGACAGTGCAACATATAACAAAAAAAAAACTGTTAAACAAATTTGTAGTGACGTACCTACTACAAATCTATTTTTTTAAATACCTATTACAAACATTATACAAATTTTGTCGGCTCGCTAAATAGAATCAGTTTTTGTCGAAAAATAAAATAAATAAAAGTGACTCTAAAATTTTACCGCAAATTTTTATGTACAAAAATAAATAAACTTTGTTCGCTCGTAATTCGGGTTAAATAAATTTACCGCTAATCTTTATATACAAGAAAATACATAAATTTGTTCGCTTTTGGTTCCAGTACATAATATAGAATTTTGTGTATACTAAATTTGTCGCTCGGAATATTGCGGTACATATTTATATAGAAAGTGAATAAATACATAAAGTTTGTATATAAACATTTTTGGCGTAAAACTTTTGGCGTCGGTGCTCTACAATACATAGTATCATCCATTTTGAAATTTGTTTTTGGAAATTTTTGGCTCACTTAACCAAACTTTTGGAAATTTATGATGACTTTGGAAGAGGTTAAGCAGCAACGGGCTAATACGAAGAAGAGTATTACCCGCATCAAGAACCAAATCGAAGCCAATGGAAGGGGTGAAGGTAAGACACTTTCGTCTGCTGAGTTGAAGTGCCGTTTGGGGATACTGGAGTCATATTTTAAACAGATATTGACGTATCAAACACAAATTGAAAAATATGATCCCGAGGATAATGCTAGGCCCGAAATTGAAGATTTGTACATCTCAGCCAAAATGAATATCCAGTCGCAGCTTGGTGAAGATGTTCATAACACAACGTTGTCCGAGTCCACCATTTGTTTCCCAGCTCCCAGCCATAAATTGCCCCAACTCAAATTGCCCACATTTAGTGGTAAGTACAGTGAATACAAGAATTTTATAACGTCGTTCAATCAAGTTATCGATCGTGAGTTTGGCCTATCAAATATTGAAAAGTTTAATCATTTGCTCAACTGCCTCCAAGGCCAAGCTCTAGAAACGGTCAAGGCTTTCCAGATTACGAACGAAAATTACCCGAAGGCTCTGGAAAGGCTCAAAACGCGTTATGATAATAGCTCGCTTATTTTTATGGAAAATATTACCGCCCTTTTTGAACTTCCTGCCATGTCCAAATACAATTGTGCCCAATTACGAAGTCTCGTCGATAATGTTTCTGCCCTTTATAGTTCCTTACTGTCTCTTGGCTCACATAGTGATATTGCTAATTCCATGCTGATTTACATAGTGAATGGAAAAAGTGGATGAAGATACCAGAAGAAAGTGGAAAGATTCCTTGGACTTTACCAGATTGCCAACATGGGATGATTGCTCCAAGGTCCTTGAAAGGCGTTGTCAATTTTTGGAATCGGTTGATACCAACCATACTTTTGTGGCCCCTCGTAAGCCTGATCATCAATCTGGTAAGTCCAAATCTAAAAATTCAAAACCTGGCTATACTTTTTCGGTATCAAAACGCTCTTGTGTGCTTTGCTCCAAATCTGACCACTCAATTAGTCGTTGTTCTCGGTTCAAAGATATGGATGTTAGTCAAAGGTATGAAAATGCAAAACGTCTAAGCCTTTGTCTAAATTGTTTGTCCAAAGGGCATCAAGTAAGTAGTTGTTCCTCCACATTCAAGTGCAAATTTTGTTCTCGCTCGCATCATAGTTTGCTTCATCGGTCTCAGCCAGCTTCTCGGCCCTCGTCCCCTGCTGCTGAACCTACTACTTCTCATGTTGCCTTGAATGAATCTTCTGCCTCGGTCCATACCCATATGGAAAAATCCTCGCCGGAACAGGTGCTGCTTGCTACTGCCATGGTTCTAGTTCGTGACTCCACTGGTCGCTATCAATTGGGACGCGCTTTGTTAGATTCTTGCTCTCAATTGAATTTCATAACCGATGAATTTTCCCAAAAATTACATTTGTCTCGTACAAAACAAACTACTGAAGTCTCTAGCATTGGTAACACTCTTAGCAAATCTAAATATAGGTCGTCCACAAATGTAAAATCTCGAGTCACAGATTTTGAAGTTTCGCTCTCATTTTGTGTCACACCTCATATTTCATATCAACCTGATAATGAATTAGATGTCTCATCCTGGAATTTGCTCCCAAATACTGAACTTGCGGATGAAAACTTCTTCAAATCAAAACGAATTGATTTACTTATTGGTACTGAAACGTTTTTCGACATTTTAGCAGTTGGTCAAATAAAACTTGGCCCTAAATTTGCCTAAATTACACAAAACACTTTTCGGATGGATTGTAGCAGGTCGTTATGTATCAAAACAACCCAATATTTGTGGCTCTTCTTGTATGCTCTCGATAGAAGAAGATATTGATCTTAAATTACAGCGCTTGTGGGAAATCGATGAAGTTCAATCTGGCTCAAATGATTTGACACCAGAACAATCTGAATGTGAAACATTTTTCAATGATACTGTTCATCGTGAATCTTCTGGTAGGATTGTTGTTAAATTGCCCTTCAAGGAATCTCCTGACGCTTTAGGTCTTTCTCGAAATATGGCTCTTAAAAGATTTGTATCTCAAGAGAGACGATTTGCTCGTGACAGCAATCTTAAATCACAATATGTTGCTTTTATGAAGGAGTATGAAGATTTTGGACATATGAGTCTAGTTCGTAGCCCTCGTCTACACGAGCCTCATTATTTCATCCCTCACCATTGCGTTTTCAAACCAAGTAGCACTTCCACAAAGTTAAGAGTTGTTTTCGATGCCTCGTGTCCATCATCGTCCCAGAAGTCTCTCAATGATCTTCTTATGGTTGGCCCAACAATTCAAGATGAGCTGTATAAAATTTTACTTCGGTTCCGTCTTCATCGCTTCGCTCTTACTGCCGATATAGTAAAAATGTATCGACAAGTCCTTATTGACTCCCAAGATAGAAAATTCCAATATATTTTGTGGAGAAATTCAGAAGAGGAAGAAATTCGAACATATCACCTAAATACAGTCACCTATGGAATGTCAGCTGCGCCCTACCTTGCCATCAAAAGCCTTCACTATCTCGCAGACCAATACATGGACCAATTCGAACTTGGTGCAAAAACCATTAAGTCATCATTTTACGTTGATGATTTTCTTTGTGGCTCAGATACGCTTGAAGAATTGTCTCGTATGAAGCAGGAGGTTAATGAAATTCTAATTCGTGGTTCGTTTCAATTAGATAAGTGGCACTCTAATCATAGAGATTTTCAGGACGACAAAACTGTCAAAGACCTTAATATTGAAGATTCTGCAGTAACTAGCGCTCTTGGTATCTCTTGGGACCAACAAAAAGATGTTTTCTTATTTTTGTTTTCGCCTAAAGTCCAAATTGATGAAAAAATAACCAAACGTACAATTTTGTCGCTCTCGTCAGCGCTTTTCGATCCCCTAGGACTTTTATCCCCTCTCATAATAAAAGCTAAAATCATCATGCAAGAGTTGTGGATTCTAAAAATTGGCTGGGATGAGTCTGTACCTCAAGAAATACACTCGGCTTGGAAATCTTTCGTCTCTGATCTCAAACTATTACCTTCACTTAAAATTCCTCGTTTTTGTCTCGCTCCTGATTCTAAATCAGTTCAACTTCATGGCTTTTGTGACTCATCAATTCGTGCTTATGGTTGTTGTTTTTACTTTCGTGTTAAAACTTCTTCAGGAAATGTTGTTGTTCGGCTCTTTACTGCCAAATCTAGAGTTGCTCCTACAAAGCGAAAATCGTTACCCAAACTTGAGTTATGTGGCGCACAACTTCTAGCAAAATTGTATTCCAAAATCAAAAATCTTTTCGCAATACCAAATCTGGAAGTCGTTCTGTGGACAGATTCGCAACTAGTTCTTCACTGGCTAAAGCAACATTCATCTACTTTGTCAGTTTTTGTTGGCAATAGGGTATCAGAAATTCAAGATCTAACTAATGGCTGCGTTTGGCGACATGTCCCAACCCAGTTCAACCCTGCTGACATCGTTTCTCGTGGTTCAACTGTGCAGGAACTCGCCTCATCCATCTGGTTCAACGGACCAGCATTTCTCGCTCTCGATCCTGTTCAGTGGCCCCCTACTAAAACTGATAAACTCTCCGAAGAAAATCAGCAAGTATTCGACAAAGAAAAACGGAAAACCGTACTTCATCTTGAAACAAAATCTAACTACATCCTCGATTCTGTTGGAAAATATAGCTCGTACTTAAAAATCATTCGTATTATTGCCTGGATGTTTCGTTTTGCTCAAAAAACAAAAACTAATATTTCCAATTCTGACTCTTTGCAGCCCCAAGAAATAGAAAATGCTAAACTTTGTATCGTTTTCAACATCCAGAAACTACATTTTCAAGATGACATAACTCGAGCTCTAAAGAAGAAAGATCCCCAAGGTGCTCTAAAGTGTCTGAACCCCTTCCTAGATTCGTCAAATGGTTTCAACTTGCTCAAGGTCGGCGGACGCTTGGAGTACGCGGCAATTTCTGAAGGCCAAAAACACCCCATAATCTTGCCCAGCAAATGCCATTTCGTCTACTGTTACGTACGTCATCTGCACATCAGTAACTACCACGCTGGACCCAAGGCTCTAATGTCATTGATTCGCCAACAATTTTGGATCATCAACTCCAGGAATTTGTGTCGCAGCATTGTAAATTCGTGCCCTCAATGCATTCGCTATCGCCCAAAGTTGTTGCAACAAATGATGGGAAATTTGCCTGTGGAACGACTCAACCCGTCAAGGCCCTTCGCAAGGTGTGCTGTCGATTTTTGTGGTCCAGTCAACACCTACCTAAGAATTAGAGGAAAGGTCCCCTACAAGACATACATCGCTATATTTGTTTGTCTCGCTACCAAAGCTGTCCATATTGAAGTGGTATCCGACCTGTCAACAGATGCCTTCATTGCTGCCCTAAAACGGATGATTGGTCGTAGAGGTCTGCCCACAGATATATTCTGTGATAATGCAACAAATTTCGTTGGTGCAAACTCTAAGTTGGCTCAATTAAAGTCGTTCCTTTTTGAGCCAAAAAATTCAAATTTTATTACAAATTATTGCTCGAATCAATTTATTAATTTTCGATTTATTCCCCCTAGGGCACCACATTTTGGCGGATTGTGGGAGGCGGCCGTCAAATCGGCCAAAGGTCACTTAACCAGAACCCTGGACAACACAAGGCTCACCTACGAAGAACTCGCAACGGCTATGATTGAGATAGAGGCAGTTTTAAACTCGAGGCCCATTTCGCCTCTATCCTCAGATCCCAGTGATTTTGAAGCTCTTACACCAGGACACTTCTTGATAGGCGCTCCCCTCCGTAGTTTGCCAGAACGTGATGTCCCTACAAATGAGATTAACAAACTTGAATATTGGGCCCGAATAAGCGCCATCAAGCAACAATTCTGGAAAAAGTGGTCCCATGATTATATAAATGAGCTCCAGACTCGCAACAAATGGACTAGCACCAACTCTAATATTACCCCTGGTTCCCTAGTCATCATCAAAGAAGATAATTTACCCCCGCAGCGTTGGCTCATGGGTAAAATCATCAACATTGTTCGTGGAAGAGATGATCGTGTTCGAGTTGTCGACATCAAAACTACAAAAGGAGTTATACGTCGCCCTATCCACAGACTGGCTCTTCTATCTTCTTGAAAGTGTCCTTTCAATGGGGCCGGAATGTTAGGTCACCGTATAATAATTACTAACATTATTATTTTGTTTTGTTTAAATTTTCCATTTTTTATTGTATTTAAATTTATTCATATTTTTGGCTCACTGTTGCCACTGTAATTTGTCATTATTTTTTGTTCATACTAACCACTGTACATATTTTTGGTAATGACCCGTTAGTTTTTATTATTTGTTTCTCACTCCAATTCTTATTATAAGCATATTGTTGTTGCTCTTAAAAATGCAATTTCTTATTTTGGAGACTTATTGCATGTATTTTGTTTTTGCATATTTTGAATATAAATAAACAAGTTGAGTTGGTACATTGGAAGTGAGAAACAAATAATATTACAATAACAACAGTGTAGCCCTTATTTACATGATCAATTGTTAGGCTTAAGAAAAGAATTTTTAAATAAATAAATCATTGTCATAGTTGAATTCAATCGAACAACATCATCTTTTATTCTTGTCTCGGTACCACGGTAGTTCTTTTGTGTTTGTTAATTAATCACTGCCCATCGAACATTTCAGCAACCTATAGACAACAATTCAAAGTAGACCGAATTGCTCTATATCGTTGCCGGTGAAGAAAAAGCTCTTCATCGTACAATAGGAGTATTCGACTTAAGTTCAAATATTTTTAAAATAAAAATAAAAACGAAGGGAGTTTCATCTAAAATATTATTAATTAATGTGTAGCAGTACAATACCAGTTATTTTTGTCAAGATTTTATATAGAATTTGGTTATATGAGCTTCCGGAACTTAATGTCTTTCCGACAACTGTTTTGAGGGACTTGATGACACTTGTCGTGGCCGATTATCCACAAATATGCAGTTATTTATTCAGAAAACCTTAAAAGACGTTATATGCAAGGTCTTTTAACGTTTTGCTTTAGAATCAGTAAGTCGACAACCATGTAATGGCCTACTTCCTATGAACGACAACACCGCCACTTTATCAAATTTGTTTATTGGCAATATGAGAACATATCTTGGGGTAATATGTTTACCTATAACATTTGGTCTTCGATACCATTTTACAATTTATTAGACCATACCATTTTTGTCAAGACCCATCATGAATCATTCCTATTATGCGAGTTCTTTGAAAGTTGGTTAGAGCTTAATATTTTTCGATTAATTGACTTCCAATATATTTTCTGAATTCATTTAGATTTAAAAATGTAATTTGTTGTCGTATTCATGCATTAAAAATTCATCCATGTATGAAACCACCTCTAAATGCTTTACTTGGCAAACTTTATTGGTTTCACTACATGCTTTATGGTCTGAAATTAAATGTTTTCAAAAACCTCGTTTGACTCGAATGAAACTTACTTATGTCGAATTTAATCTATATACTCGTATATTTAGGCCAGTTATAAGCGTTAAAGTAATTTTCTGAATATAGGGGGGCAGGGTCAATTATGGGTCGATCATCATAAAATTTGGTAGATAGAATTTGGTTCGTATTAAATTTATTTGTGTCGAATTTCATCGCTACACTCGTATTTTTAAACCGTTAATGAGCGTTGCAGTCATTTTCTGAAGGGGACCTTATATGGGGGGTAGGGTCAATCATGGACCGATCCTCATAAAATTTTTTAGATAGATTTTGACTCGTATGAAACTTACTTATGTCGAATTTCATCTATATACTAGTATTTTTAAGCCAGTAATGAGTGTTAGTCATTTTCTGAAGGGGACCTTATATGGGGGTAGGGTCAATTATGGACCGATCCTCATAAAATTTCGCATATTGATTTTGGATCATAAGAAACTTACTTATGTCGAATTTCATCGCTATATTCTTATTTTTAAACATGTTATGGCTGTTAAAGCTGCTTTTCGAGGGGCCACTTGTATGGGGGCTATCCGAAAACGTGGACCGATATTGCCCATTTTCAATACCAAACAAACCTTACTTATAAGAAATATTTATGTGAAATTTCAACCCTCTAGCTCTTTCCATTCGGACTCTATCGTGCTTTCAACAGACAGACAGACAAACGGACGGACGGACGGACAGACATGGCTAGATCGTCTTAGAATATATATACTTTTGTGGGTCTATGACCAATATTTCTATGTGTTACAAACGGAATGACAAAATCAATAAAAAAACAAGTAAGAAATTATAGTCGGGCGTGGTCGACCATATGATACCCTACACCAATTGCGAATATTAAATGTGATTAATTTCAATAATGAAGCTTTTCTGTTAATCTTATTTAGGTTCCAAATAATGTCTGTTCATGTTCGGTTGTATGCTGACTAGGAGAAATAAAAGACCGATTTCAATCATGTTCAACAGCCATCGTCAGTGGATCAAGAGAATAGTATGTGACCCATTTTAACAAATTATATTCAAAATTACACGGTCACAAAGACGGACATAGTTTAATAAGGACAAATATTTTTGAGTGTTACAAACATCACCACATTGTTCCGACTTTTGGATAGATTGTAGTATATTAGTCGTAGTTAAAAGATAAACGGCCGAAATCGGAAGGTCCAGATGTATGGAGGCTAAGGCAGAAATTGAGACGATCCTTATAAAATGTATTATTGGGAATTATCTATATACATAGATATATAAAAATGAATGTGTGTTTGTTTGTATGTTTATATGTTTGTATGTTTGAACGTTATAGACTACTAAATGGCTAAACCGATTTTCTTCAAATTTTCACAGCACATTCCTGTATGTTTGGCAATAGGCTACTTTTTATTTACGATCATGGCGAAAAATGACAGTGTTATTTATAATTACATATCAAACTTAGTTGTGCCGATTTTTGGGAAGATAGTAGTATATTTATAGTAGTTATGAGCTAAAAGGCCCAAATCGGTAGGTCCGGTTGTATGGGGGCTAGGGCAAAAATTGGTCCGATCCTTATAAAATTTTATATAAAATGTTTATATAAAATCTATTTGTGGCAAATTTCATCGTGATACTAGTGTTTATAAGTGAATTGTGGACATTCAAGTAATTTTCTGAAGGGGATTTTGTATGGGGGATAGGGTCAAATAATGCCCGATCATTATAAAAATCGACAGTGTTATTAATAATTATATCAAACTTAGTTGTGCCGATTTTTGGGGAGAGAGTAGTATATTTGACAAAGTTATAGCTAAAAGGCCCAAAGCGGAAGGTCCGCTTATATGGGGGCTAGGGTAAAACGTGGTCCGATCCCTATAAAATTTATTGTTGGGAATTATGTTTATATAAAACTCATTTGTGCCAAATTTCATCGTGATACTAGTATTTATAAGTGAATTGTGAACATTCGAGTTATTTTCTGAGGGGGACTTTGTATGGGGGCTAGGGTCAAATAATGCCCGATCTTTACGAAAATTACTAGAATTATTAAGACATATATAAAACTAAATTTTTCAAATTTTTGTAGAGATAGCAGTTCATTTAACATAATTATGAGGTCAAAAGCCCTATTCGGGGGGTCCGGTTGTATGGGGGCTAGGTGAAATAATGGACCGATTTCAACCATTTTCAATAGCGTTCGTCCTTGGATCAAGAGAAGTGCATGTTCAAAATTTCATCAAATTATCTCAAAAATTGCGACCTGTAGAGTGCGCACAAGGTTTACATGGACACACAGACGGACGGACGGACAGACGGACATAGCTTAATCGACTCAGTAAGTGATTCTGAGCCGATTGGTAAGGTGGGTGTAGGACCAATATTTTTGGGTGTTACAAACATCAGCACAAACGCATAATACCCTCCCCACTATAGTGGTGTAGGGTATAATTATAAGCGCTTATGGGAAGCGCTTATCATATTTGAATAAAATGTTTATTTTTTATGAGAAATTTTAAAACATTTGACTTCCTAAGGTATTCAAACAATCTTTTAATGAAATTACCATGAGATTTTTCATATTTTTTAGCGATATTCTCATAATTTTCAAGATATTTGAACAGATTTCATTTTTGTCAATTCTGACATTTTATTTCAGGATTTTAAATGACGTAATTGTGAACTGAGCTTAAAATTACTTAAAATCATGTAAATATAACAGTTTTATATTACATTTTTAATATTTACTACGAATAATGGAAATTAATCTAACTTAGGTTATATAATATTCGGTACTCCTATTTTTTTGAACGTGAATACCAAAAAAACTAATGAACCTATATAAAATATTTCATTCGTTTTGTATTTTAAACACTTAACAAACAAATATCGTGAAAAAATATTGGATTTCTGTAAATGTTTCTTTTTAAAATTAAGCAGCACAATTATTTTTATACCCTCCACCACCATCAGTGGTGATAAAGGGTATATAAAAGTTTGTCGTTCCGTGTGTAACACCAAGAAATATTCTTCTAAGACCCAACAAAGTATATATATTCTGGATCCTTATGAAATTCTGAGTCGATTTAGCTATGTCCGTCTGTCTGTCTGTCTGTTTGTGAAAAACACGCTCACGTTAAAACTAAGCAAAGAAAATCAACCAAAAATCGGATCACAACGTAAAAAGTTATGAGTAAAAATTTCAGACTACCTCGAAAAAAAATAACGTTTTTTTTCTAATGGTTTTGAAGTTTTCTCAGAAACTACCAAAGATATTTCGATGAATTTTTTCACACATTATTTTTTCAGGGCAGTGATCAATTGTGTTCCAAATCTTTACAATCGATCCAATATTTCCCATAGCCCCCATACAAAGGTATATATTCCCGGATATTAGTTTATCGTTAATAACTCCCTCAAATATATCGGTATCAACACAAAATTTTGTACATGCAAATATAATATGAACAGAAATCATACGTAGATCTCACTCGGTCCAAAATTGGTCATAGCTCCCATATAAGGTCCACTTCCGAAAATCACCTAAACGCACATATTTCATTGATGAATAAAGCTATTGTGATAAAATTGGAGTTAAATATGTTTCATATACATACCAATCATTCTACCAATTTTTTTACGGATCGGTCCATTATTGGTCATAGCTCCCATATAAGGCCCACTTCCGAAAATCATTTAAAAGCTCATATTTCATTGTCAAATAAAGCTATCTTGATAAAATTCGACACAAAAATGTTTAGTCGAAATATGAATCACCCTACGAAATTTCTTCCGGATAAAATTCGACACAAATATGTTCTGTATACAAACAAATCATTCTAACAAATTTTTTCCGGATCGGTCCATTTTTGGTCATAGCTCCCATATAAGGCCCACTTCCGAATATCGCTTAAAAGCACATATCTCATTATCAAATAAAGCTATCTTGATAAAATTAGACACAAATATATTTTGTCTTTATATGAGTCACTCTACGAAATTTTTTCCGGATAGGCTCATAATTGGTCATAGCTCCAATATAAGGTCCACTTCCGAAAATCACTTAAACGCATATATTTCATTAAATTCTAAAGCTATAAGGATAAAATTCGACACAAATATGTTTTGTGTACATATAAATCATTCTACCACTTTTTTCCTGGATCGGTCCATTATTGGTCATAGCTCCGATATAAGTCCCACTTCTAAAAATCATTTAAAGGCACATATTTCATTGTCAAATAAAGTTATCTTGGTAAAATTCGACACAAATATGTTTTGTCTTTATATGAATCACTCTATGAATTTTTTTCAGGATAGGCTCCCATAGAGGGTCCACTTACGAAAATCACTTAAACGCATATATTTTTTTGAATAATAAAGCTATCGGGATAAACTTGAATATATTTTGTGAGCCATGTTTTGTGGTCCATATATGGTAATATCTTCTATATAAGGTCCACTTCAAGAAAATCACTTAAACGCACATATTTCATTATCAAATAAAGATATCTTGATTTCTGTAAGGTCATAGCTCCTATACATATTAGAGTTCTGCATCGAATAACTTATCTTGTCGGTCGATAATTGGTCACAACTCCCATGTAAGGACCATTTCCGAAAATTACTCAAATGCACATTGAAAATCAAAGTTATCGGGATAAAATTCGACACAAATGTGTATTTTGTATTTATATATATATTCTACGGAATTTTTTTCCGGATCGGTCCATGTGTTCTGAGTACAGATAAATCATTCTGTTAAAATGTTTTTGAACTGGCCTATTAATATAAATATTTGTGGACCTAATTAAAATTAGTTTGACATATGCATAAATGTTAATACCCTCAATACGGAAACAAAAATTTTGCCAAGTTTTCTAAAGATTAGATAGTTAAATGGGTTTTAATAAAAAGTAGCTTGCTGGTGGAGGGTATTTAAGATTCGGCATAGCCGAATATAGCACTCTAACTTGTTTAGTTTCACTCCTATTTTTTTGAACACAGCTGTATATACAAACAAGTAAGAGTGCTATATTCGGCTGTGACGAATCTCATATACCCTTCACCATAGTGTAAAAAATATCAATTTTATAAAATTTAAATTAATTTTATTTTCCCGACTATTTTATTAATATAGCAATAGCAAAACCAAATAAACAACAACAACGCTAAACGATATAAACATACAAAAACAAAACACACAAGGCAGTAAAACCAACTGACATTAAACGTACTAAACGAAATACACAAAAAAAACAAAAACAAAATACACAACGCAATAAAACCAACAGACATCAAACATACGAAAATGAATACACCAAGAAACAAAAACAATATACACAAGACAATGAAACACACAGACATCCAAACATACGAAACTGAATACACCAAGAAACAAAAACAACATACACATGGGAATGAAACACACAGCCATTCAAACATACGAAACGAAATAATCAAAAATACAAAAACAAAATACACAACGCAATGAATAAGCAGTGTTGTTGTTGCTTATTTTTTATGAAATTTTCAGAGGTTGTCTCGGATTTTTGCTTATATATCCGTTGTTTATGGACGGATTTTGCTGATTTTAAACAGGAAACTTCTCGAAAGGATGTCTTATATAACTTTTGAAGATTTGGATCCCGAAGATATCTGGGGTCTTCAGAAAACTGATTTCAACAGACAGACAGACGGACATGGCTTAATCGACTCCGCTATCTATAACGATTCAGAATATATATACTTTATAGGGTCGGAAAATTATATCTTGGAAATTACAAACGGAATGACAAACTTATGTATACCCTTCTCACGAAAGTGAAGGGTATAAAAATACACATTTATGTCGAATTTTATCCCAATAACTTTGATTGTCAATGTGCATTTAAGTAATTTATAATGATTTATATGCAAAAAAAATCTAGTTTAATTTTACTCCAATAGATTTATCAATAAATGAAATATGTGCAAAGAAATATATGCGTTTAAGTGATTTTCGTAAGTGGACCTTATATGGGAGCCTCTCAGGAAAAAATTTCGTAGAGTGATTCATATAAAGACAAATCATATTTTTGTCGAATTTTATCAAGATAACTTTATTTGACAATGAAATATGGGCGAATCGATTATTTTGATTTTCAACATAATTTATCCCTGGATAAAAAAAATTATGTGGAACAAAATTCATAGAATTATCTTTTGTAGTTTCTGAGAAAACGAGGGTTACGAAAAAGCTGTATGTGTTCGAGGTAGTCTGAAATTTTCACTCATAACTTTTAACGTTGTGAACCGATTTTGCTGATTTTCAATACCAAACTGCTTAGGACAACAGTGAATATTTTTTGGTGAATTTGGTTTATTTATTTAGCTTAGTTTAAACGTGAGCATGTTTTAAGCAAACAGACAGACAGAAGGACATAGCTAAATCGACTCAGAATTTGATAAGGACCCAGAATATATATATACTTTGTTGGGTCTCAGATGAATATTTCTTGGTGTTACACACGGAATGACAAACTTATATATACCCTCTATCACCACTGATGGTGGTGGAGGGTATAAAAACTGATAAACCCCAGGCATGGGTTATTAATTTTGTAATTCGTAAGACAAGTAAGAAATTATAGTCGGGCGTGGCCGACCATATGATACCCTACACCAATTGCGAATATTAAATGTGATTAATTTCAATAATGAAGCTTTTCTGTTAATCTTATTTAGGTTCCAAATAATGTCTGTTCATGTTCGGTTGTATGCTGACTAGGAGAAATAAAAGACCGATTTCAATCATGTTCAACAGCCATCGTCAGTGGATCAAGAGAATAGTATGTGACCCATTTTAACAAATTATATTCAAAATTACACGGTCACAAAGACGGACATAGTTTAATAAGGACAAATATTTTTGAGTGTTACAAACATCACCACATTGTTCCGACTTTTGGATAGATTGTAGTATATTAGTCGTAGTTAAAAGATAAACGGCCGAAATCGGAAGGTCCAGATGTATGGAGGCTAAGGCAGAAATTGAGACGATCCTTATAAAATGTATTATTGGGAATTATCTATATACATAGATATATAAAAATGAATGTGTGTTTGTTTGTATGTTTATATGTTTGTATGTTTGAACGTTATAGACTACTAAATGGCTAAACCGATTTTCTTCAAATTTTCACAGCACATTCCTGTATGTTTGGCAATAGGCTACTTTTTATTTACGATCATGGCGAAAAATGACAGTGTTATTTATAATTACATATCAAACTTAGTTGTGCCGATTTTTGGGAAGATAGTAGTATATTTATAGTAGTTATGAGCTAAAAGGCCCAAATCGGTAGGTCCGGTTGTATGGGGGCTAGGGCAAAAATTGGTCCGATCCTTATAAAATTTTATATAAAATGTTTATATAAAATCTATTTGTGGCAAATTTCATCGTGATACTAGTGTTTATAAGTGAATTGTGGACATTCAAGTAATTTTCTGAAGGGGATTTTGTATGGGGATAGGGTCAAATAATGCCCGATCATTATAAAAATCGACAGTGTTATTAATAATTATATCAAACTTAGTTGTGCCGATTTTTGGGGAGAGAGTAGTATATTTGACAAAGTTATAGCTAAAAGGCCCAAAGCGGAAGGTCCGCTTATATGGGGGCTAGGGTAAAACGTGGTCCGATCCCTATAAAATTTATTGTTGGGAATTATGTTTATATAAAACTCATTTGTGCCAAATTTCATCGTGATACTAGTATTTATAAGTGAATTGTGAACATTCGAGTTATTTTCTGAGGGGGACTTTGTATGGGGGCTAGGGTCAAATAATGCCCGATCTTTACGAAAATTACTAGAATTATTAAGACATATATAAAACTAAATTTTTCAAATTTTTGTAGAGATAGCAGTTCATTTAACATAATTATGAGGTCAAAAGCCCTATTCGGGGGGTCCGGTTGTATGGGGGCTAGGTGAAATAATGGACCGATTTCAACCATTTTCAATAGCGTTCGTCCTTGGATCAAGAGAAGTGCATGTTCAAAATTTCATCAAATTATCTCAAAAATTGCGACCTGTAGAGTGCGCACAAGGTTTACATGGACACACAGACGGACGGACGGACAGACGGACATAGCTTAATCGACTCAGTAAGTGATTCTGAGCCGATTGGTATACTTTAAGGTGGGTGTAGGACCAATATTTTTGGGTGTTACAAACATCAGCACAAACGCATAATACCCTCCCCACTATAGTGGTGTAGGGTATAAAAAGAACTTAATAAATTAATTCCAACATTTGAAGAAATTAGTACCAGTTTAGTTGAATATGTATACTTCTCAGTGTTTGATTTAAAAGATGAATTTCGGCGTGTACCTTTAACTAATAAATCTGGTAATTAAGTAGCTTTTAGTACACCTTTCGGATGCTATAAATTCAAAAGATTACCTTTTGGGTTAGTAACTGCTGTTTGGGGCCAAAACTGGAGTTACCTCTTTGGAGCTGAACTGGTTCCTAGATGCTGGCAGGCAAGTTGTCTCCGGCGGTTTTTGTTTGTTGCGGCAGGTCAGGGCCAAACGTATCGCTGCATACACACACACAGACTTCAATAAAAACAACCCTTATTTTTAGTGTTTTGGTTTTTCTTTTATTTATTTTAATTTCAGCTTTAATTTGGTTTTAATATGGTTTTTTTTTTGTTTGTTTGTTCTGAACTATGGTTATTTTTATTTCACTTCTTTTTTTTTATTAACTTTTAAAATTTATTTAATTTGTGTGCCTCTTAAGTTTACAGCAGCCAAAAAAGTAATGAATGTGTCAAGCTCTTTTTTTTATTGAGCAACGCAAACTCACCACACTGAAGTGGGGAGTTGCCATACAGTATTTTAATTGGGGGGATTTTACACGAAGGACAGATGTAGTGTATGAGTACTAGATAGACACAAACATACCGCCCACCTTGCAACGGCAGTGCAAAATACATTATTATAATATAAAATAAGATTAAGATAAATTTACAATAGTTTCATTTCTTTTATAAAGAGCTACAAAATTAAAGCATTTTTTTTAATTCATTACTTTTAATTATATACAAAGAAAGAGAAAAAAAAAACTACTTTATAGATACATATGGTAAATTATGATATCAATTCGAATGATTAATATAAAAAAAAAATAAATGAGATACATTTTGTTTAGCTGAATGCAATTCAATATATACATTAACATAAATGTTTATCATAGCAAAATATAAAAACATAAGTAATACTTAAACGCCTTTTAAGGGCAACAAATTATAGCAAAATATATGCTTTAAGTCCCTTTGACACCTTCACCAAAATACGCTACGCCGAAAATTGTGTTCTGTGCATATAATTGTCCTTGACGTCTAGTTGCAGGTCCAATCAGGACTTTACTCATGACATCAGCTCCTAGAATCAGCATATAAGGGCTACTGATATTCCAATGAACGTCGGCGTTGGCGCGATCTACAGCTATTGGTCGTGGATATCTATCTGGTCTTTCTAAGTTAACAATAGGGCTTAGGCCATAGCACTTGCTATCTACAACGCATTCAACAGATATGCGCCGTTTCTCCTCGCGACTGTGGTATACTGTGATGGTAACACGTCCCTGAAAAACTCGAAATCCCAACTCATTGGCTTCACTTTTCAAAATGGAGGACCTGGCTGCAGTCGGATCAATGAGAGCTTTGATAAAAACGTCTATAGGATTACGGGTAACCACGCGTACCGTCGCTGTCATGGGAAACCAAATTCGACCTTCTGGCAAAGGGTGCAGCAACGTATTGTGGTCCTGCATACAGCGACGGCACCGGTCTATACTTTTACATTCTGCACGACTATGCGACTGGGCCAAGCAGTTGTAGCATAGTAAATACTGGGCCACGACTCGAAGCTTAAGCTCCACGGGCATCACAATGAATCGAGAGCATTGGCGGATGGCGTGAGGTCTGTTACAAAGTGGGCAACAAAAATCTGTATTGAAATCCATATCTTGACCTGGAAGTTTAATTGAGCAACGTTATTATGGAAAAGGTGATAATGAATTATTAATCAGTGCAATTAGGGAGTAAAACTAATTTGTGTATCGGTCGAGTGATGATGCCATTTTGAGTTTTAAGATCAGCCACTCGAACTTTACCGTCTGAACCATGATAAACTTTTACTATACGACCTAAGCGCCATTCAGTTGGACAACAAGGTTCACTTTTAAGAACAACGAGGTCATTTTCTTTCAGGTCTATTTGGGGACACTTCCATTTGTTACGTTTATGCAACTCCTTAAGGTACTCTTCTTTCCAGCGGTGACATATTTCTTGCTGCAATGCTTTGATTTTGCGCCAACGATTTACAATACTATTTGCCGAGCTAAGTTCTTCGGGTTCAGCTGGAGTAAGAATAGCAGAGCCTATTAGAAAATGACCTGGAGTGAGAGAGGACAAATCATCGACGCTGTTAGACATAGGGCCAAGAGGACGCGAATTGAGACACGCTTCTATCTTTGCCAAAAGTGTCGAAAACTCTTCAAACGTATATTTCATTTGTCCAGCCGTCTTTTTAAAGTGCATTTTTAGACTTTTGACCCCTGCCTCCCACAGTCCTCCCATATGAGGAGCTGCTGCAGGAATAAAGTGCCACTCAAGATGTTGATGACCATATTTTTCTACTGCCGAATCACGTAATTCTTTTATATGTTTTTCGAAGTTATTTTCAAGTTCTCTTGCAGCGCCAACAAAATTTCTTCCATTATCAGAGAAAATGCGACTAGGGCAACCACGACGAGCAACAAATCGAGCCAAAGCTGCTAGAAATGCAGGAGTGGACAAATCGCTAACGGCCTCAATGTGAATCGCCTTAGTAGAGAAACAAACAAATAGACACACGTAGCCTTTAGTGATACGGCAATATCGACCAGTGAAACTTTTGATTTCAAATGGGCCGGCAAAATCAACACCTGTGTTAGTAAAAGGGCGACTTAAAGTAGTTCTTTCTTCAGGTAGCACTGCCATGATCTGATTTTGAAGCTTTTTTCTATGTATAACGCAGATTTTACAGTTGTGGATGACCGTTTTTATTAGATTTTTAGCCTTTATAATCCAACACTCCTGACGTACGACATTTAGGACTAAACGAGGGCCTCCATGTAAGACCATATTGTGGACAAACTCAACGTAAAGTCGTGCTAATCTACTAGTATATGCAAGTATTACGGGATGTCGTTCATTGTATGACAAACATTTTGTAGAGCCAAGACGACCATTAGCACGTATAATACCATTTTTGTCTAAGAAAGGCGTAAGCGTTAATAAAGGACTACGAGAGTCAATTTTCTTTTTCGATGACAGACAACTAAACTCATTAGAAAAGTGCGACTGTTGAGAGAGAAAAAATAGCCGATTTCGTACAAATACAAGTTCTTGAGCCGAAATTCTAACAGTTTCGTAATTACAGCTTTTACGTCTGCTTTTGCTCGCAAGATTAAAAAATCTAAATATATAAGCAATAACATGATATGCTCTGGGCAAACTTGAGAAACGGTCCAGTATATCTTCTCGTTCAGCGGATCTAGCAATATTAACTTGGACTTGTTTCGATTCTTCTACTGTTTCGAATTCTAATGGACCTTCGGGCCACGACGATTTGTTTAATCTGAGCCAATCAGGACCATGCCACCAAAGTTTGTTTTCTCTTAAATCCGAAGGTATCAGCCCCCGGGTTGCTAGATCGGCAGGATTGTGATTAGAAGCTACGTGAAACCAATTTTTGTTTCCTACTTTTTCTAATATTGTTGCTACCCTATTTGCCACAAAGGTTTTCCAATTACATGGCGGTTTTCGTAACCAAGCAAGAACTATTGTCGAATCGGACCACAAATATAAGTTATACGTATGCAATTTGAAATTGGGGATTACGCTGTTTACTAAATTGGCTAAAAGAACTGCGCCACACAACTCTAAACGCGGCAAAGATGGCCTTTTAACTGGAGCCACTTTTGTTTTGCCAATTAGTAGATTTACATAAACTTTATCACCATTCACAATACGTATATATAGTGTAGCTGCGTAAGCTAACTCAGAAGAGTCACAAAAGCCATGAAATTCAATATAAGAACTAGGCGTATATTGAACCCAACGATCAAGTTTAATTGTATCAATCTCATTATAATTAGAAATGAATGTCTTCCATTTTTGCAGAGCCACAGGTTTTATATGTTCGTCCCAGTCTATTATATCAAGCCACATTTGCTGCATCAAAATCTTTGCTGTTATAATCACTGGGGCCAACCAACCTGCTGGATCAAATAGCCTTGCTATAATTGAGAGTACTTCCCTTTTTGTATAAGCTGTTTTGAACTTAATCTTCTCAGTTGTAAAATAAAAGTAATCTTCTGCCGCATTCCAACGGACACCGAGTGTTTTAGCATTACTTTTATCATCGAGCGACAAAAAAGAAGAGTTAAGAAGATGCTCTTGGGGCAAATTTTTTAAAATTTGTTTAGAGTTTGAGGCCCATTTTCTCAACTCAAACCCAGCTGTACCCAATATACCAATTAATTGGTCTCGTGCCTCCAAAGCATCAGGGATCGAATGAGCTCCAACAAGAGCATCATCAACATACATTGACTCGCGAAGAATTCTAGAGCCTAGCGGAAAACATCGTTCTTCATCGTCAGCTAACTGTAAAAGCGTTCTTAGGGCCAAAAATGGGGCACAATTAACGCCAAAAGTGACGGTGTTCAATTGATAATCTTCGATTTTATTTTCCCCAGAACTACGAAAAACTATCTTCTGATACTGTCTATGTTCAGATTTAAGTAAAATTTGTCGATACATTTTAGATATATCTGCATTGAAGACAAACTGAAAGAAACGCCATTTTAGAATTAGGGCTACTAAATCAGCTTGTAATATAGGGCCTACAAACAGCAAATCGTTAAGACTGTTACCATTAGAAGAAGCACTTGAAGCGTTAAAAACAATTCTTAACTTTGTAGTGGTACTGTCAGGCTTAAAAACTCCATGATGAGGTAAGTAATAACTTGAGCTACTTTCAGAATTTGTAATTTTTTCCATATGTCCCAAAGCTATGTATTCTTTTAGGACCTCATCATATTGAGCCTTAAATTCAGGATTTCGCATTAAAACCTTTTCATTTCTTAAATATTGACTAAGAGCAATATGACGATTTGGGCCAAGTGACGAAAAAGTATCTTTAAAGGGCAAACATACTATATATCTTCCTTCAGAATTTCTTGTGGTAGTAGAACGATAGATCTCTTCACATTTTTTATCCTCTTCTGATAAAATCTTTCTACGAGAAACTTCTTCTAACTCCCAAAACTTTGTTAACTGATCGTCAATGGAAACTTTTGTCATATAATTGGTTATTGAAAAACGTGGGGAATCATTACTTGGAGTTGGGCCTGTGACAATCCAGCCAAAAATTGTCTCTTGGGCCACTAAAGACTCAAAGATTCCATGTTGAACTCCATCACGAAGAATTAGGGGATACAAATCTCCTCCTAACAATAAGTCTATTTCGCTACTTTCATAAAACTTAGGGTCAGCATAATTCAGATTGGGCAAATCTGTATTCTTTTGTGGCTTAAATGAATGTGTAGGTACATTCCCTGTTACACGAGGAACTACTAAAGCCTGAATATTTAGAGATACATTATGATCAAACAGAGAAACAATTATAAAGTTCGCTATCTTTGAAGATTTGCTTACTAATTCTCCTCCTAAACCAGTAATTTCCGCTGAAACTGGCTTAGTGGGCAACTTCAATGCAGTTTGTATTCTCTGAGAAACAAAACTTTCATCCGAACAAGGATCTATGAGTGCTCGAACTTTGTAATAAGAACCACAACTAATTATATTGACCCAAGCTGTAGCCAACATCACTTTCTTAGCTACTGATGTGTGATGTGACTGAACAACACCAGACGGACCTGCGATATTAGTGGACTGTAATTGATTTGTATTTGTGGACTGTATTTGTTGGACAGAACTATTTTGACTTTCGCCCTGAAATCTAGTATTTCCTTGATTTTGGCTATTATTATTTTTCTTTACAAAATCCCTATGCATTAAAGTATGATGCTTCCTTTTGCACTTGGAGCAACCGTTTGGACTACCACAATCACCATACATATGTCCAATGTTAAGACAATTAAAACAATAACGAAATTTTTTCAAAGTTGAAACACGATTTCTATAATCCATGTTCACAAATTTATTGCATGAACTAATTTTATGATTTTCTTTACATAATTTGCAAAAAACTGTTTCAACTTTAGTATTATGGGCCTTAAATTGTTTGACTTTAGTTGATGTGTGATTATTGTTACTATTAAGAGCCGATTGGGAACCACTGGGATGCGTATTATTCAAGGATATAATATCAGAAACGCTTTCTAGAGCATGAAATCTATCTGTTAAAAAATTGTTTAATTCTTCCCATTTGGGAACCTCTGTTTTGTTTCTAACCGATTGTTCCCAGAGATTCAGTGAACATTCAGATAAGCGCGAAGAGCATTGAAACACAAATATCGGATCCCATGAACCAATATCAACATTATACAATTTTAAAATTGCCATACAATTATTGATTTCTCTTTGGAGTCTTTTTATCTCTGATGCTGATTCTTGATTACAGGGAGTCAGATTAAACAATATTTTCAATTGACTATTTATTAATACACGTTTATTTTCATATTGAATTTTTAAATTATTCCAAGCTATCTCAAAATTTTCTGCTGTTAGGGCAACATTTCTATTTATATCCCTTGCCTCACCATCAGTTTTTCTAAACAAGTAAAATAACTTTTCTACAGGGCTAAGTCTTGTATTGTTTATGTAAATCGCAGTAAACATATCCCTAAATGTGGGCCACGAAACGTAATCCCCATGAAAAACACCAGTATCACAAGGAGGTACGGTTATGGAACCACAAAGATTGGGAACTGCTGATTCTACATTTTCTTCCTTCTTTTTATCTATATGTTTTCTCGCTTTTGAAATTATGTTTATGCACCGCACATATGCCTTACGGATCTGCGGGTGTTTAGTTTGGACCATTAAAAGCTCTTTCTTTTTCTCTATAGTTTCAGCGGAACATTCATCATATAGGCCCTTGTATTTTTCCCATGCCTTATCTAACTCACTTTTTTCGAAATCAAAGGCATCATCTGTATAATGGGAAAAATCTTCGCCTTTTAACATAGCCTCTATGCTAATCATTTCATCGGCCGCTAATATGTATTTCTCAAAAATCGACATATTTAACTTTGCTTTATTGAAAGAGAAACTATATAAAATTTAAATCGTAAAAAGGGTCACAAAACTTTTCAATCAAAATCAAAAATTTAAAAGAGAAACAAACTTTTTAATAAGAATTTATGATAACCACAAATTTCCAATAAAAAAGAATTAAAGAGAGTCACAAAACTTTTCAATAAAAGGCAAGAGTAAGAGAACCACAAAACTTGTTTCCAATAAAAGGTTTAAAGAGAAAAACTACTAAAAATGCGCCAAAATCACGATTTCCAATAAAAATCTTAAGAAAATAAAGATGGACGAAAAATGTATATTGGTTCCAAAAACAAAACAACAAATACAAGTGACCGTAATAAAAATGGCAGCTTAATGTTCACGTTGTAATTTCAAAAGGGTTACACAACCTCACTTTTTCCGAGACACAAAATAATGAACCACTATTATATGTATGAGACACTTTGCACTTTAATAAAATTAATGTACGCACCTTTCTTGTCGGGAGAAGGACCAATGTTTGGGGCCAAAACTGGAGTTACCTCTTTGGAGCTGAACTGGTTCCTAGATGCTGGCAGGCAAGTTGTCTCCGGCGGTTTTTGTTTGTTGCGGCAGGTCAGGGCCAAACGTATCGCTGCATACACACACACAGACTTCAATAAAAACAACCCTTATTTTTAGTGTTTTGGTTTTTCTTTTATTTATTTTAATTTCAGCTTTAATTTGGTTTTAATATGGTTTTTTTTTTGTTTGTTTGTTCTGAACTATGGTTATTTTTATTTCACTTCTTTTTTTTTATTAACTTTTAAAATTTATTTAATTTGTGTGCCTCTTAAGTTTACAGCAGCCAAAAAAGTAATGAATGTGTCAAGCTCTTTTTTTATTGAGCAACGCAAACTCACCACACTGAAGTGGGGAGTTGCCATACAGTATTTTAATTGGGGGGATTTTACACGAAGGACAGATGTAGTGTATGAGTACTAGATAGACACAAACAACTGCATCTGAGGTTTTTCAAAGATATAATTTTGAAACTTTTGGAGATTTACCTGGGGTAAACATATATATAGATGATATCATGGTTGTTGGTAGAACAATTGAAGAACATGATAGAAATGTGAGTATGTTTTTAGAAAGAGAAATATAAAACTTAACAAAAATAAAATTCAATTCAGAGTGCAGGAGGTAAGCTTTTTAGGACATATTATATTAAAAAGATACAAAGAGAATCGAATCAGTTATGGCACTAAGTATTCCTAAGGATAAAACTAGTCTGGCAAAATTTTTGTTTCCGTATTGAGGGTATCAACATTTATGCATATGTCAAACTAATTTTAATTAGGTCCACAAATATTTATATTAATAGGCCAGTTCAAAAACATTTTAACAGAATGATTTATCTGTACTCAGAACATACTCATTTTGAATTTTATTTTTATGAGAACTAAGACAACTTATGGACCGATCCGGAAAAAAATTCCGTAGAATATATATATAAATACAAAATACACATTTGTGTCGAATTTTATCCCGATAACTTTGATTTTCAATGTGCATTTGAGTAATTTTCGGAAATGGTCCTTACATGGGAGTTGTGACCAATTATCGACCGACAAGATAAGTTATTCGATGCAGAACTCTAATATGTATAGGAGCTATGACCTTACAGAAATCAAGATATCTTTATTTGATAATGAAATATGTGCGTTTAAGTGATTTTCTTGAAGTGGACCTTATATAGAAGATATTACCATATATGGACCAATCCGGAAAAAATTTGGTAGAATGATTTATATGCTCACAAAACATATTCAAGTTTATCCCGATAGCTTTATTATTCAAAAAAATATATGCGTTTAAGTGATTTGCGTAAGTGGACCCTCTATGGGAGCCTATCCTGAAAAAATTTCGTAGAGTGATTCATATAAAGACAAAACATATTTGTGTCGAATTTTACCAAGATAACTTTATTTGACAATGAAATATGTGCCTTTAAATGATTTTTAGAAGTGGGACTTATATCGGAGCTATGACCAATAATGGACCGATCCAGGAAAAAAGTGGTAGAATGATTTATATGTACACAAAACATATTTGTGTCGAATTTTATCCCGATAGCTTTATAATTCAATGAAATATATGCGTTTAAGTGATTTTCGGAAGTGGACCTTATATGGGAGCTATGACCAATAATGGACCGATGCGTAAAAAGTTTGGTAGAATAATTGGTATGTATATGAAACATATTTAACTCGAATTTTATCACAATAGCTTTATTCATCAATGAAATATGTGCGTTTAGGTGATTTTCGGAAGTGGACCTTATATGGGAGCTATGACCAATTTTGGACCGACTGAGATCTACGTTAATGGTATGATTTCTGTTCATATTATATTTGCATCCGATAAACGGACATAGCTAAATCGACTCAGAATTTCATAAGGATCCAGAATATATATACTTTGTGGGGTCTTAGAAGAATATTTCTTGGTGTTACACACGGAACGACAAACTTATATATGTATACCCTCTATTACCACTGATAGTGGTGGAGGGTATAAAAAGATAGGATCTTCAAGATTACAGAGACTAATGTTAAAAATGTTTCCATATAATGTAGAGGTCATACATAGACCTGGTAAAAGTATAGTTGCCCCAGATTATTTTTCTAGAAATTATATTGATACAGGAAATATGGAGCATGAGGCGTAACTGAAATGATACACACTGTAAATGTAACGGATGACACTATGGAAAAAATACGAAAGGCTACTCAGAATGATGAGAGACTATGTTTAATACGGAAATATTGTTTAGAAGGATGGCCATTAAAGGATAAAACACCAGATAATATTAAGGAATATTTCAACAAAAGAAATGATATAACAATAGATGGTAATTTAATATTTTATAATGATAGAATAATTATGTCTAAGAGTTTGCAGAGAGATATTTTAGAAAAGTTACATGAAAGTCATATGGGCATTACAAAGACAAGAATTATTTTATTGGATTAATATGAATCAGGATACTGAGAATTTATTGAGAATTCAGGGAAAAATTTTTTGATTGTTGTAGATTATTATAGCAAGTTGTTTGAATTAATATATTCGAAGTCAAAGACTTCATCAGATGTTATAAATGCATGAATAGAAGTATTTTCACGATTTGTTATACCAAAAGTCATTATAGCAGACAATATGCCTTTTGCCTCATTTGAATGCATAACATTTTCACAGGTGGAATTTTAAAATAATTACAAGTAGTTCAAATTATTCTAGAAGTAATGGTTTAGCTGAAAGAATAGTGGGAGTTGCTAAAAATATTTTGAAAACATCTGAAACAAAAGAGAATGTATACAATGCTTTGTTAGAGTATCGCAATACCACAGTGAAGGATTTAAATTATTCACCAGCACAACTGTTATTACATAGACGTCTAAGGACAATAATTCCAATTACTAATAAACTTCTAGAACCCAATTCAAAATATATGGACAATAAAATTATTAGGGGGAAATGGAGAATAAAGTTAAAAATTTAGAGAAGTATAAGTAAGTATGATTCGTCAAAAAAGTGGATACCTGGAATGATTATAAATTATCATAATTCTCCCAGATCTTATATTATAAAAAGTTTGATTGATGAAAGAATTTATAGAAAAAATTCTTATGATATTAAAACAAGTAAGAGTGTTATATTCGGCTATGCCGAATCTTATATACCCACCATCAAACCTCGTTTGACTCGAATGAAACTTACTTATGTCGAATTTCATATATAGGCCAGTTATAAGCGTTAAAGTAATTTTCTGAATATAGGGGGTAGGGTCAGTTATGGGTCGATCCTCATAAAATTTGGTAGATAGAATTTGGTTCGTATTAAATTTATTTGTGTCGAATTTCATCGCTACACTCGTATTTTTAAACCATTAATAATAGATTTTGACTCGTATGAAACTTACTTATGTCGAATTTCATCTATATACTAGTATTTTTAAGCCAGTAATGAGCGTTAAAGTCATTTTCTGAAGGGGACCTTATATGGGGGGTAGGGTCAATTATGGACCAATCCTCATAAAATTTCGCATATTAATTTTGGATCATAAGAAACTTACTTATGTCGAATTTCATCGCTATATTCGTATTTTTAAACAAGTTATGGCTGTTAAAGCTGCTTTTCGAGGGGCCACTTGTATGGGGGCTATCCGAAAACGTGGACCGATATTGCCCATTTTCAATACCAAACAAACCTTACCTATAAGAAATATTTATGTGAAATTTCAACCCTCTAGCTCTTTCCATTCAATTCAAATATATGGACAATAAAATTATTAGGGGGAAATGGAGCATAAAGTTAAAAATTTAGAGAAGTATAAGTAAGTATGATTCGTCAAAAAAGTGGATACCTGGAATGATTATAAATTATCATAATACTCCCAGATCTTATATTATAAAAAGTTTGATTGATGAAAGAATTTATAGAAAAAATTCTTATGGTATTAAAACAAGTAAGAGTGTTATATTCGGCTATGCCGAATCTTATATACCCACCATCAAACCTCGCACAGTGGTATAGGAAAAAAAAAGAGGGAAATAATTCGGTAACTTCTAAACGGTTAATCCGATTTTAATGAAATTTGGTATGCACAAAGAGGAGGTGTTGTCGAGTTTAGGTTTTGAATTTGGACCTTATAGGCCAACCAGGGGCCCGGCGGGGGGTCCTCAAATTAGGACACCTCGGCTATGTTAAATTTTTAAAACGATCCTATTTCTTCATTTGAGTTCCGATTTAAAAAAAATTTCGTATATAGAATCTCCTCATCGAGCACTATAAAAAATGTCGTCGTAGCAGTAAATTATCTCTTATAGTTTAGGAGATATTCGCATTTGAATATTAAAATTTTAAAATTTTTACCGTCCTTACTTTAGTTTTTTTGATAATAGCAGGTCCAAATATTTCCGATTTTCGCCATTTTGTTTTATTCGCTTAACAACAAGTTTATATATCAAGCAGTGAAAGAATTATGTAAAAATCATGACTGAGTCCAAAGTTATAGGCATTTAAATTTAAAAAATTAAAAAAAGGCGATTTTTTGTCATTTTTTTGGGAAAAAAGTATCTTTTTCTTTTTAAGTTATCTAAAAAGTTTCTAAGAAGATGTATATAGAATTTATACTTTTTGGAAAGCTGACTTTACATAAAATACGATAAATGAAACAAAACCTAAAAATTTTTGATACCGAGGGGACCAGGTCCATCCAAAAAAACCCTATTTTTTATGGAAAATTAAATTTTGAGCAAAAATTCTCAAATCGCATAGTCGATATCAAATTATAGTGACCTGTTTTATATGACCCAATAAGTTCTTAATCATTTTGTAACGGGTTTCGATAACCCCGCCCCTGGTATGGATATAATAGGCAAAAAACCAAAAAATCCCATTTTTGGGATTTTTTAAAACTTTTTTGGGAATTCCGGGATTTCTAATAAGAAAATTCGAAATTTTTATTTAATTTTGGATTTTGAGTAAAAAAATCTACCTAACTGTAAAATTTCATCAAAAAATATTCATAAATAAAATTTTTATTGCAATTTGAAAAATTTGTATCTTCGCAAAAACTGAATAAAAAACATTTTTTAATTTTTTTTAAAAAAAGTATTCCGCGAATTTTTTAATTTTCAAAAATTATATACAGTTTTGAAAAATAGACAAAATTACCTTTCCATTGATATATAACATGCCTACCTAATGTTTTTTAAGTGACAAATTAATTAGGGAAAACTCAACATCTTTTAGAAAATTTACCTAGCACTATTATTTTCATCCATATATGTAACAAATTTAAGAGTTAACCTTATGGATGAAAAT